TGCCGCTTGTTGGGTCCCTCCTGGAGGAGCAGTGGCCCAACTGGGCCGCGGATCACAGTTTATGGCAACCCCGAGCTGAGAGCCCGCGCCTCGGCTCCGTCTCTGCAGCCGGCTTCCCCGCTCTGATATGTGGGAGCTCTGCCACACTCAGGCATCCCTGGTCTTTCTGTGACCCCGAGGGTCTTGAGACCACACTGTCCCACGAGGGTTCCACCCCCCGTTTAGCCACTGGAGCGATGTCCCTCAGCGGAGACGACTTCTAAAAGTTCCAATTTTGTGCTCCGCGGCTCTAGCACTTGCCAGAAGCGGTCGACGGGGGCCCCCTCCCCCGCCATCTATCCTCCCGAATATCGCCTCGGATTCATTTCTCCGCACGTCCTACCTTCCAGTAAGTGGTCGCTTTTCTGTTCAGAGAGTTGTTGCTATTCTTTTCTTCGATCTCCTGTTGAGTTCGTAGGTGTTTAGAATGGTTTGATCCGTATCCAGATGAATTCCTGATACCAGATGAAATCCAGGTCTCCTACTCCTCCGCCATCTTGCTCTGCCCCTACCAGTGAAAGCGGAACCCTCCTATACTGTTGGTAGGAATGCAATCTGGTGCAGCCATTCTGGAAAACAGTATGAAGTTTCCTCAAGAAGTTAAAAATAGAGCAATCTTATGACCCAGTAATTGCACTACTAGGGATTTACCCCAAAGATACAAATGTCGTAATCTGAAGGGGCACCTGCATCCCAGTGTTTATAACAGCAATGTCCACAATAGCCAAACTATGGAAAGAGCCCAGATGTCCATCGACAGATGAATGGATAAAGAAGAGGTGGCATACATATAACAATGGAATACTACTCAGCCATCAAAAAAATGAAATCTTGGAGGCTCCGGAGGCAGTGCCGCACAGGACAGAGCGGAAGTGCTCAGCTGGCCCTTCCCGGACCGTGCGAAGTGCTGGCGCGGCTGCCTGCCGGCGTCCTTCCCGTGGCCCTCGGGGACCACGCTCGGCTGCAGGGAGCAGCGAGTTACAGAATGTCCGAAGGTGACAGTGTTGGAGATTCTGTCAATGGGAAGCCTTCTGTGGTGTACAGATTTTTCACAAGACTTGGACAGATCTATCAGTCCTAGCTAGACAAGTCCACACCTTACACAGCTGTGCGATGGGTGGTGACACTGGGCCTGAGCTTTGTCTATATGATTCGAGTTTACCTCCTGCAGAGCTGGTACATTGTGACCTACGCCTTGGGGATCTACCACCTCAATCTTTTCATAGCCTTTCTCTCGCCCAAAGTGGATCCTTCCTTGATGGAGGACTCAGATGACGGCCCCTCATTACCAACCAAACAGAACGAGGAGTTCTGGCCCTTTATTCGAAGGCTTCCAGAGTTTAAATTTTGGCATGCGGCAACCAAGGGCATCCTCGTGGCCATGGCCTGCACCTTCTTTGAGGCTTTCAATGTCCCGGTGTTCTGGCCCATCCTGGTGATGTACTTCATCATGCTTTTCTGTATCACCATGAAGAGGCAAATAAAGCACATGATAAAGTACCGGTACATCCCGTTCACGCATGGCAAGAGGACGTACAAGGGGAAGGAGGGCGCAGGCAAGACGTTTGCGAGCTAGCTGCTCAGCCGGACCCACCACAGAGTCGAGGATGGTTCTGAGCCATTGTAACAATGCCTTCTTCCTTCACATAAAGTAGTTGATTTCGAGGGAGTCGAATTTTCTTTTTAAAAAGGAGCTTCAATTATTTGTAACCGAAATATCAGGTTCTTGAAGAAACTGACATTTAAACCAAATTGCATTGATTTATTTTTCAGTGACATTCAAGTGCTCAAATGGACAGAATTCTAGTAAACTGCTGCCTGGGCGGACAATCGGGTGGGGGTGTGGGGAGGGGCGGGTGGTCTCTGTTGCTGGGCGGCCGTGGAACAGACCTATACGGAAGGAGCTGGGTTGCGCCCCAGCTGCCCCCACCCAGGACGCCCGTGGCCACGTCACCCAGCTGGAGGATGATGCTAACCTGATTCCCGCGCATTGGAAGAACATTTGAAAGGTGATTTCCAAGTAACTCTGGGGTTTCTACTGAGAGTTTCCCACTTTCATCTCACCAGAGATGTTTAAAGTTGGTCTCTTATCATAATGACTCAAAACTTTGTTCTTAATTACCATGATTGCTTTTGAGGGCCTGGAATTATAAATATATATATTTAAAAAAATGAAATCTTGCCATTTGCAATGATGTGGATGGAACTAGAGGGTATTACGCTAAGCAAAATAAGTCAATCAGAGAAAGACAATTATCATATGATCTCACTGATAAGTGGAATTGAAGAAACAAAATAGAGGATCATAGATAAAAAATAAAACGTGACTAAATCAGAGAGGAGACAAACCATAAGGGACTCTTAATCATAGGAAAAAAACTGAGGGTTGCTGGGGGGGAGGAGGGTGGAGGGATGGGGTAACTGGGTGATGGACACTAAGGAGGACACGTGATGTAATGAGCACTGGGTATTAAATAAGACTGATGGATCACTGAACTCTACCTCTGAAACTAATAATATACTATATGTTAATTGAATTTAATTTAAAAAATTAAATTTGAAAAAAATGCTCCACTCTTTTCATTTTTTAAAGATTTTATTTATTTGAGAGACAGAGAGCATGAGAGAGGGGAGGGGCAGAGGGAGAAGCAGACTCCCTGCCGAGCAGGAAGCCTGACACGGGACTTGATCCTGGGACTCTAGGATCATGACCTGAGCAGAAGGCAGTCGCTTAACCAACTGAGCCACCCAGGAGCCCCCAAAATGCTCCACTCTTGAACCACACTGATCTTTGGGAAAAACATCCCCTGAATCCCAGCAACCAGTCCCAGGCCTGGGGCACTCCCTATGTGGTTCCTTTCTGCCCCCTCCATCCAAACCCCATCCATGCCCCAGGCCCCCAGCTCCGGGTCCACCTGCATGCAGCCTTGCCCAGTTTCACCAGCTCTGCCAGCTCTGCCAGTTCTTCCTTTTCCCTTGTCTGTGAGTTGCTATGCCCTCTGCCTGAAACTGTCTTCTGGGGCTCCTTGCCTGAGCAGCTCTTTCCCATCCTCTGGTTCTCAGTGTCTGCTCCTTGGACAGACCATCCCCACTCATCCATTTCATCTAAAGACCTTCTGCCATCATTTAATCTAGCCTAGCATGGCACTCTGCTTGTGTCCTTCATGGCCCTTAACACAGTCTGTAATGTCTGTTGTTTTCGTGTTTATGATTTCTCTTCTCAATTAGAAAATAGGCACCATGAGAAAATTTTCTGCCTTGTTCTCTGAAATATCCACAGCAGCTAGTTCACAGTTTATGTAGAAAGTACATGTATTAATATTTTAAATATCTTTTTTCAAATTATAGAATGTTTCTTATTTTCAAATACTACACCAAAAAAAAAAAAAATAGCATGCGTTTCTTGATTAAGAGATCCAGAGATAGTGATTCTAAATTAAAGGTGTTTTTTCTCTATTTCAATAGTTTCTTTGAACTACTGAGAGGATAATCTGATGAGGATTATCCAATCTGTTCCTCTGATAACTTTGGCCTCATAAGCATAAGAATTCTTGCTTTATTTTCCATAAACTCCATAAATTGAGGACATTCTTTTGTACAGAGAATAATAATTTCAGGGATTATTTTCTTTTGTCACATTTCCTGAATCCTTAAATATCAGATTTCACTCTCAAGGTACTGTTTTCTTATAGGGCATACCTATAAGAAACACAATAGAGTGACCAGGACCTCTATAGTGTTCTTAGAAATTACTATGCTCCAAATTTCTTAAATATCTGTGAATACATGATAGTGAATCTTTCACAAATTCTTTTTTTTTTAAAGATTTTTATTTATTTATTGAGAGAGAGAGAGAATGGTAGAGAGAGAGCATGAAAGGGAAGAAGGTCAGAGGGAGAAGCAGACTCCCTGCTGAGCAGGGAGCCCGATGCGGGACTCGATCCTGGGACTCCAGGATCGTGACCTGAGCCGAAGGCAGTCGCTTAACCAACTGAGCCACCCAGGCGCCCGAATCTTTCACAAATTCTATTTTGGTTAATATTTCTAAATCCATATGTTTATTTTTCTAAATTCATCCTCCTTTATTTTTCTCTACTTCTTTTAAGATGCAGAGTACTTTATTAACATTATTTTACGGATAAATGTTTATAAGGAAATGACTCGCCTTCCCTCTGAAGGGATCTCCATAACTCTTTTTTTTTTAAGATTTTATGTATTTATTTTGAGAGAGAGAGAGAGAGCCTGAGTGTGATTGGGGAGGAGGGTCAGAGGGAAAGGGAGAGAGAATCTCCAGCAGACTCCTCGCTGAGCGCAGAGCCCCATATGGACTCAATCTCATGGCCCTGAGAACATGACTTGAGTCAAAACCAAGAGTCAGATGCTTAACTGACTGAGCCACTCAGGCGCCCCCAGGGATCTGCATAACCCCTAACACACTTCATGTCTCCCCAGCTAGTACCTCACGCTTGACACTGCTCCCTCCTTATCAACCTCATCTTTCTGGTTAGAACAAGTGAGATTTGAAGATGCTTGATGACAATGATAAAGCCATATTGCTGGGAACTCCACCTTATCTCACATGATGGTTAAATACTTAATAAATACTTAATTAGAAATAAACTTCTCTTAACCCCCTATGTTCTAGTGTTCATGTGTCAAAAGATACAAAAGAAGCTGTTCATGGGATTTAAAAATATATGGTGTTATAAAAAATTATATATATATATAAAATGTTGGCCTCAAAGAGGAAGTCTGAACTCAAGTTTGCAACACACAGCTTGGTGGATAGCGGCAGTAAACCATTATTTCGTCATCTCTGAAAAGTAGGCGTAGTCACAGAAGCAAGTGAAAAGTTCAGTCCTAGGCGACTGGCGTCTTACGACCGGACTTTGTCTTAGAAGGTAAATACATTTACCCCATGCTTTTAATCTAGACGAAATAATCATTCACCCAAAGAAAACGTCATCTAATTTTTAATGGTTTCTATCATTTTTTTTTTCTGTTTAACTTTATTTGGTGGGGGAAGTGCTGTATTTGAGTGGCTGCACGTAGCTGGTGGATTTTACGGCAATCGGTAAGAGTCTCCCGGTACTGGACAAAACGTGAGAAAGTATATATAGTGCTGTTTCTATTTTGATTTATGCTCTGTCAAATGTTTGGGGTGTTGTTTTCAAACGGAAACATGTTTCCTGCTTTTCTTGGCCTGGATCTGTAAGAATTTATTTCCCTGCTGCACTGTGCGATGGTTTTGTCTATCAGAATGGGTTGGCCCCCAAATTTTTCTGTGGGATGGTTGTAAATTCAGAGCCACTTATGTGAGGGTTAAGATTTTACAGGAGCCTACGATCCTCTCATCTTCCATGTCCCCAGTGGCGAGGTCCGATATAAATTCACAGGATAAGATCATGCTCTTTTTAGGGCAAACATATATTTCAATATTTTAAAAATACTCTATATTTTCTGGTGCTCTGCAAAGAGCACTGTTGACTTTTAAATTAGAAAAGGAGCAAAAATGCTAGAAAAATTGTTACCACTGATGATTCTCCTGCGGATGGTGGGCTTCCTAGTCTCGTGTCTCAGAATTCTCACCAGATGTCCCTTGTCGGCGCTTTATCCTAGAGTATGTTATTTGGTCGATTCTAAAGACTTATTATTGTCGCTGTTGTGAGTGGCACATGGTGATGAGGTATCCTTCTAACCCTCCCCATGTCCAAGGACTGGAAATTGATTTACTTTTGAAAGCTGAATAAATAAACACAAATAATAGAGGGCATTTACTGTCTAAATAAATTACCTTAAAATATAGCAGGTCTAAGCAGAGTCAAAAATTCTTATCACGGGTGTGCCTAAATATGAAGTAAAACTGTGGTTTCCTAACATGGTTTTGTTCTTTAAATAAAAGTGGAGACCATTTTTATCAACAACGAAACGGGTTAAGCAAGCTATCATACATGGCTATAACGGAAAGACTTCTCACCACTAAAAATGCTTATAGAAAGTTTTGAGTGGCATGGGAAAGATGTTTATGATTTAAAAAAAAAACTTAGTAAAAACAACAAAAAAGGAGATATGAAGTCTCAACTAGCTTTTAGGAAATTCATGGAAGTATAACTAAAAAGAAATACACTAAAATATTAATAATTGTTAGTAGGATTTCGGTGATTTTACTCTGCTGCTTTTAGGTAACTTATACTTTTTAGTACAAATAAATAAAAGGGAAAATACAGAAAAGTTAACATAAGAAGTAGAACCATAGCCTAGATAAAGACACTGACATACTTGAAAAGACAATATGTGAACAGAATAAAAGTTCTCATCCAGCCTAGAGGAAGGATCTTCACGAGAAAGTGGGTCAAAGGTTACCCAGCACTGCCAGGGAGGAGTGAGGCAAATATGTTAGATCTCTATGATGTTCAGTATTAAAATCATCCATTCATCCTCTCCCATACTTAGTTCAATTCAATGCCAAGCAAAACTGTGGTTTTAACTGGCTTTCTCACGTGTTCTGATAGAACGCACTGGTGACACCAACATGTTCCTTATGTCATTTCAGTTTATATATCAGTCTCCTGTGAGTTAGTTGGTGTGAGTTGGTTCTGGATCAATCAGTCAATTCTTGGTGCCCTGCTAAGATCAGATTTGTGGACCTGCAAAGCTGAGGACTGGTTGCTGAGGTGTGGTAACCACACCATGTAAAGTCCGTGACCACTGTCCTCACTAGAACACCCACCATGACTAGCCTCTCTCTCATCAATACTGCTCTGGTATTAAAACCACAGTCTCAGAGTTCGCCCCTCTGCTACCTTTACTTTCTAGGCTTTCAAAGAGGAACATTTTTTATTCTCGGGAAGACAGCATGGGAGGATGGCATTCCAAACCCGAACCCAACAATGGTAAGTCCAGGACAGAAACCATTACCTGCCTCACTACTGAGTTAACACGGCCTGGATTAACCAGTAACTGTACTAAAGAGTTGCATGGGACAACATTTCTGAAGTTGGAAGAATTAAATTTTACGCAATGCCAGGAAGAGTGACAAGGGGAACCAGGGAGAACAATCTGTCCTCCCAAGTTGAGTAAAAAGTGTCTGTGTGCTCAGTATGAGACCAGCTGGGTAGCTTAGGACAATGCAGTTCACTTCCCTTACTGGGCCCCCTGTTTATAGCGCCGGCCTTGGGAGAGCTCACTGTGGCTGCCTTTGGCTAGTCACTGTTAGAAGCCGCCCTGCAAACAAAGCAACAAACTAAAAAAGGCAGAAGTTTCCAAGGTCAAGTTCCCCAAAACTTTGGGAAATGCTAGTTCTGGGTTTTGCTTTTGATTCTCTACTCCCTGGCCTTGACATTGTCTGCTCTGTCCAAGGAAGCTCATCTCCCTGGGGTCCATTAAATCTTGGAGGGAGCAACAGGAGATGTGTTTGTTTGTCAAACGGGCACATGGGGCGGCAGAAACACGAGGCTCCTCTCCCGCGTGGGTAGCTGATTGTTTTCTCAGTTCTAACTCTAGTTTTCACGTTAAAGGATCCAGGATGCGAAACATCGTTCTCTCCTTTTGCAGGGTGGGGCCCTCCATCGTTTACCTCCCCTGGGTGCTTGGACAGGGTGGGGAACCTGGGGACATCTAAGCCGAAAAAACTCAGGAACCGTGGTGGAGACACTAAGCCCCTTTGTGTTCTCTCATCTCCCGCAGACATACAAAGTGCCAGCACAGCAGCCCCAACCATTGCCTCTGCACCCTACCTCCTGGAATACACCAAGTAAGCCAGCACTCTCCCGCCTATCATTTCATCTTGTACTGCATGGCAGTGGATTTTGTGCTGACAGCCTCGTCTGATGCGAGTTGAGGAAGCAGGTCTGGGGAAAAGGGACGAGAAACAGTTGAAGAGCTGAATCGTTTTTTTATATTTAGAGTGTGGGTCTTAACCAGGAGTGCCCCAGGAAGGGGAGATCCTCCGAGAGATCCATGAATCCCCTCAGCTCATTGATAAACTGTGTGTGTATGGGCTTATGAAGATTTTTGAGGGGCGCAGGAGCCCACAGTTTGCACTGAGGCCTCAAACAGTTCTGGAACCCCAAAGCAGAAAGTTGAAAAGCCGTGGGTAAGAGTAAAAGTCACTGAAGCAGCATGAAAGCTATTTCAGGGCTTCACCCACGGGCGGGAACGGTGACCTTCTGGCCTTTGGCAGAGGCCTTCAGAAAGCCCAGGGGGTCATCTGCTCCCTTTCTTTGCCAAAACAGGATACAGCATTTGGTCTTAGCCTTTATCGCGGGGGTCCTACTGACGCTGCTGCTGGTGGTCCTTATCTTCCTCATCAGAAAGAGCTACAGGAAATGTAAGTGGTCCCTGAGAGCTGGGACAGCTCTTCTGGCTCTAACACTGAGAAGAGCTGCGGGGGAGTAAAAGCCTGGTCCCTGACCTTGTCTGCAGACTGACGACCTGAATCCCTTTGCTTCTCTCCCCGCCCTCCCCGCCCCTCCATTTTTGCCGCCTCCAACGCCCACCCCTGCACCCCAGCCTGCAGAGAGAGGCTTCCCATTCCTCCAGGCCCCATTGGTGAGACTTGTCCCTCTCTTTCCTGGCACCTGTGGCAGGTCACTGCAGCCCCTGGGCCCTGAATCCTCCCTTAGACCCTCCCTCCAGCCGAGATCCTCCGGCCAAGGTAAGACGACCACCCTGCTTCTGGGACACTAGGCATGTGCATCTTCTGATCTCTTTGGTCCTCTGTGTCCCCATCCTCTGAGTGGCTTCTAAAGGGACACCTTCCTCCAAATTGAACTCACTTATTCCTCCTCCTTCTTCCTCTGCAGCTTTCATCCCCGGAGGAAGCACTTACCTATGCGAGCGTAGCTTTCAAAATCTCAGAAGAAAAGAGTGATCATCCGACCAAGAAACATTCTGCACCCTTGGAGCCAGTTGTCTATGCTCCAATCAAAGTGACGGACTCCCCCTGCCTTTCCAATGAGGCTTGATGCCAGTCCCTCTTATTCTCGGCTCCATTTTTATATATCACTTTCCCTTAGGACAAATTCTGGACCACAGTGTGGCCAAACTAGTTGGAGCTGTTTGGGTGGGATCTGGAAATGTTAGCCAGCAGTTGTGAAGACTGAGGGGTAGTCCTTCTCTTGGCCTGAGAAGAGACTGCCGGCCCTCCTGCTTGGACGGACAGCCTGCTAGCCCTTTGAGGGCTGAGACAGCCTACCTGGTCCCCTTCCAAAGTGTGTGGGTACAGAGCCCAGTGCACAGTGTTCACTCAGTTCCACTGACCAGCTTGGAAGAAGTCAGCCAAAGGGGCAAGTTAGCAAGATTTACAAATAAAAGCAACCGCTCTTGCAATGCTGGCCCCTCCTGCATCATTTACTTGTCTGGTCCTGTCATGCCCAGAGATCTGGAACTCCTCCACAGCCAGAAGCCTAACAGAGGTGACAGTACTCCAGAACAAGCTCAGGATTGATCAGGGCCCAGGTCTCAAGCTCAGCACCAACTAGCTGCGGTCTTTTGGTAAGTGTAACTGCTTCCTCGTGAAAACAGAACTAATAACATTTACCTCTTACTGTGAGAATAAGTGAGATGTCATCTCCTGAGGTACTTTATACGTCCCAAGAGTTTTACACAAATGTAAGATTCCTCTTGTATAAAGCGCTATTCAAATGTAGAGTCCACCTCTTTGCTATAGCATAAAAGATATGCAGAGTGATGTTATATGGGAGCTAAAAATTTAAATGTTAACCTTCCCAAATCCTAATGGATGATCCCACAGACAGTCCCAGTAAAAATACCAATAAGATTTTCTTTTTATTTTTTTAAAGATGTTATTTATTTGAGAGAGAGAGAGAAAGCACTAGCAGAGGGAGAGGCAGAGGGAGAAGCAGACGCCTGCTGAGCAGAGAGCCCAAAGCAGGGCTCCATCCCAGGACCCGGAGATCATGACCTGAGCCAAAGTCAGACGCTTAACAGACTGAGCCACCCAGGCACTCCCCAATAAGATTATTTTTCGTTCAGTAAGGTTTCTCTAAAGTCCCTGTGTAGACAATAAACCAGAAAGCAAATCCAAGAAAATGTATAAAATGAAGCAAAATAATATAGGAAGGCTAGCCCTTCCTATAACTAACACTAACTAAAAGTACTGTTTTATCAAGCATGACTCATTAAAATGTTTTCATGGTTCGTGAGTAAACACGTTCCCATTCCTCCAGGCCCAACTGGTGAGACTTGTCCCTCTCTAAGAAGACTAGATATAGATATACATGAGGAAATTGAGAGTATGATGAGGATGGCATATCTAGTCATTTGGAGGAAATTGGTTTATCCATAAAAGGTGTTTCGACAGTAGGCAGCCATGTGGATGAAAATAAGATCAGATCCACATCTCCCTCCTTAAATCAAAATAAATTCTAGATGCATCAAAAATTTAACTACAAAGTAAAAGCATTAGGAGAGTATATGGGAGAACTTTAAAAATAGAGTGGTCCCCGCCTCAAATGTATGACCCAAAGCCAATAAGCCAGAAAATTTGATTAATTAGACTTACAAAATACCATTCAAAATGCCAAGCCTGGAAAATATTGCAAAGCATCTCATAGCCAAAGGGCTAATTTTCTTAATATACTCAGAGCTCCTGTAAGTCAGTAGGGAAAAAATCAGCAACTCAGTAGAAAAAAAAAAAGCACAAAGGATGAGTCTGGGTTGGTCACAGAAAAGGAAATATAAATGGCTTTTCAATATATGAGGAGATACTCAAGTTTACTCATAATAAGAGAAATAGTAATTAAGACTCCAATTAGATGTTTTCCATCAATGAGATTAGCAACATTCAAAAAGTTTGCTAACAAACTGCTTGGGCAGGACTGCGGGGAACCAAGACGCACATACAATTTGCAATGGCAGACAATTTGGCAAAAGCTAACCATGTTTTAAATCCTATAGCTGCAAAAACATCCTGTAGAAAATCACCTGTATAGTTTAAATTGTAGCATTCACCAAATGCCTAAAACTTAGTGAGGCTCATCATAGTCTAAGTATATTCCAAGTGCTTGGCATGTGTTCATGGAAGCCTCAAAAAACACTAGGTTACAATTATTATTATTATTCCCATTTTAGAAGAGAAAGGGAGACACAGAGGGGCTGAGTATCGTGCCCGAGTTCTCATTGTTAGTAAGTAGTGGCGCTGGGGCTTGGCTCCAGAGTTTGCCCGTTTTTCCACTATGTTCAACTCTGAAACAGTGAAAGAGCAAGAAAACCCTCAGTGTCTATCCAGAGGGGACTAGCTAATGGAGTACAATGTAGCCATTAAAAAAAAGGAAGCCGCTCTATGTTCTAGGAAGAAAAGATCTCTAAGTTAAGTTAAATGTAAGGTGCAAGCTGCTGAACAGAATTCTGACTGCTCTGTTCATGTCCAGGAGAGAGAGAGAGAGAGAGAGAGAGAGAGTGTGCGCGCGCGCGTGCCCATGTGCACCGGTATTTGTACATATTTAGTCTCTGAAAGGAAACACCGTCATCTGCTCTCAGTGAGTGCTCCTGGCCAGGGGATCTTGATAACTGAGGGACTGAGGGGCAGGGAGGGGAGGAGTTATTTTCCCTTAAAAGCCCTTTTGTAACTTTTGAAGTTCTTCACTTCCCTTGTTGAGGATCTTCAGGGGACCTGGTACCTGGTGCTCCCATCCCCACCTGAATTCTGAACCGGCTGAGAAATAAGAGGACCCGGCTGAGAAATAAGAGGACTCGGCAGATAGAGAACAAAGTACCATATTTATCACACAGCGGGCACTGGAGAACATAGTGTGTATATGGCTGCAGGGAACCGGGAATCCCCTCCCCTCTCCACATCCAAACCCGTGGCTCAGCTGCACCCGGGGCGGGGGGAGGGCGGGTTGCAAAAGAGATCATGTGTACTTTGAAAGCTGCACACACAAGGTTAAAAAAAGGAAGAGGGAGGGCAGAGCAGTTTCACCCAGAGTCTGACCCATGAACTCAAATCAGACGGGTCACTCCTCCAAGGGGGCGTCCCCTGAGGAGTGTTACCTTCATGGGGCTCAGTCTATAGCGAAAGGAGCCGGAGGGGGAGAAAAGCAGCCTCCACAAATCTCTTTTAACAAGTGTATCAGGTAGTATGTTTAAAAACTGAGGTAGGGAAATTCAAGTTCAAAGAGATCAAATAATGTAGCCACTGTCTCCCAGCACGTAGGGGGCGGAGCAACACTTCCATCCAGTCCTCTGACTTCCGATCTCCTGCATCTCGCCTGCACACCAAGCTGCCCCACCCAGAGCAGGCCGAGTGGCAGAGAACTTGCAAGGGAAAGTCAGGGGACCTGATCGAGAGAGCTCTTGACCGCTGGATTTTGAGCAGACGGTGGAAGAGTGGTCCCAGTGTGGGAGCGAAAGGACCAAGGAGAAAGACGGTTTGGGGACGTGGTCTTGTAAAGTGGCCACAGCACAGCAGAGTGGCTGTTCCGGGAGGGCAGCAGAGGCTCTTCTGTTGCTGGCTGGGGGAAGTGCCTCAGGAAGGCCGCTCTAGCTTTCACCGGTTCCCAGATTCTGGGCTGACAGCACACAACACTACTGACCTTGAAGCTAGAAGCCACGTCAGCTTTCCGGTTGAGAGCTAGTGCTTCCTCAAGGGCTCCGAGATGAGTAAGCATCGTCCTAGGGCCACCCTCTTGGACATGAAATACCACATTAACTGCCCTTCCCTCTGTTTCCTTGAAGCTTTCTAACAAGAGACCTACGCTTACAGAGTTTTGGGTTTTGTCTCCCTACCATGAAAACTGGTGTGCCCCTAGTCTTGCTGGAGGGTGAAATGAGTAATTAAATAATTGACCGTAGATTTAGAAGGTCTTTGCCAGGGAAGGAAAGAAGAAAAGGCTCTAGAACCCTGGTTCGTGGAATCAGAATAAACCTGTAGGATTCTCAGGGGAAACGGTTCTCCAGATACATAAGTATAAACCCTGCATGACAACTAGAGGTGTCTTCATGTATCGCGGAAGATTGACGCCTGCTTTCTTGCCTTGGACAGGAGCATGGCCTAAGGGAGCCCAGACCGGATTTGCTGTTTGTAGAACCAGTGGGTTTGTCCTTCAATACGTGGCCACGGAGGAGGGACTGGAGTTGTTTTGTGGCTGAGGAAAAAGGCAGCACTTTTGATGTTCTTGAATCTGAGACTCTGGGACGCAGGAGGACTGGTCACAGGAAACAAGGAGCTGGCAGGAATGGGATGGTCCCCTCAGCCCGCCCCTTCCCATCAGGCTGCTGAGTAGCTTCGAGGTCCCCACCGATGGAGGGGTTGGGGTGGAAACTGAAGGAACCGTGTTCATGAAAGACGCTGTGAGAGCCTAGACCACAATGTGCAGAGCAGGTGCGGAATCGTGTCAAGAGCCAGTCTCCTTGGCCCCGCCCTGCACTGACCCCGGGGCCGCCGAGCATCCTGAGTCCTGAGACTGGCCAGGACCCTTGTTTATAAGACACCAGAAGAGCAGGGGTTCATAAGGGCAGCAGAGGCAGGGATGGGGAGCCCCTGGGGACTCTCTGAAATAGTAGGGAAGACTCCACATGGGTTGAGAAGGTGCAGACATGCAGGTGGGAGTTCTGGTATTTACGGACAGTACAGCCTCGCTTGCACCCATGGCTGCTGATGCCTCCCTCAGTCTCGATTTGTGCTTCTGTATTTGACTGAATATTTCACTCACCACACCTTGGTTTCTCACTGATCCAGAGCGGCATCCATTCAGTCTGGGGACAGTGTCCCATTAGAGGACAATCTTTTCACCCAGAAAACCTGAGACCTGCTGGTTTGGCTTATATCCCTTGCTTTGGTAAGACAGCAGGTAATACCAAGGCAGAAATAAATATTGCAATATTGTACTTGAAACTTTTCCGGAAATACATTCTCCAGGGATATCCCAGGAGAAGTTAGTCGTACCAGAGGGTTCATTCAACACCAATCAGGAATTTATTGGCGAACCAAGAAAACACAAGTGATCTCTGGGCCCCCTGACCCAGATTCTGCCCCTCTTCTTCACTTGCTACTGCTGTTCTCAGCTAGCTGCAAGTGATCGCTGGCAAGTCGGAGGGTCCTGCAGAATACCTGAGATGTCACAATCATGACGACTCTATTGCAGGATCACTTAATTTATAAACTAAATAAATCTTCAGTCACATCTGTTCAGGATAAGCCATTTTCTGTGGAGTCAGGACACGTGAGGAGGGCTTCAGTGACTTGTCTACTTTGTGGGGAATAGAAAAAGGAAATTGAGTTGAGATCTGTTGCCTACCTCTGCTGCGTGTTTCTGCAGTAGAAGTTGCAAACTCTCTCATGGTGGCTTTATGGGGACTAAACACCACAGCTTGTTTTCAGGACGGAAATCGGCTGTCATTCCTTGAAAGCTCATCGGTCAGTCAGTAGGGAAGCTTGGTACATGGGGTTTGCATTCACCTCTCACCAAGCTTTGGTGATTTAACGCCACTGGACCCCTGCAGAGCCCAGGAATGTCAAAGCCAGAAGGGTCTTTGATTCCAGCTGCCATGTTCCAATTGCCTGAGTGTAAGGAAGTAGGCCACGGCTAACAGAGGTTGCACAACTCCTTGCTCAAAAGGAATAGGGTTGGACTCCCTTGCCTCAACGTCCACGACACCATGTGCCTTTCCTGTAGAGTACTTACGCTAGCTGACAATTTTTCATGTGTGATAGTTCGTCTCCCTCCCACACTACATTATAAGTGCTCTGAAGCCAGATGCCATTTCTTTTGCTCGTCTTTGTATCCCCAGCATCTATCATGGTCCTTGTGCATTGAAAGAAGAGTGAATGCATGAACAAAAACTCCTGGGGAATATGAGAATGGGGTCCTCAATGTATAGAGAAGAAAACAGGCCCAGAGAAGTGAAAAGTTACCCAAGATCATGCCTTAAAGAAGTGACAATGGGTTTTGCAAACATCTACAGTACGATTGTGTCTCGAAGGGAGGGGTCTTGGGCACAACTGAGAAAGATGTTGCTTCGTCTACATTCCCCACCTCCACCAGTTCCCAAAGCTCTTAGAGGACAAAAGGGAGCCACGACTTTGATTTTTTAGGGCTCCTGCTCTGCCAAGGGGCCAAATTATCACAGGGAGAGTATGAAACCTCACAGCCTTAGCTTTGAATTCCAGATTCTTTTGGCTCTATCCTGTGTTTCAGAAGCAGGTGCTTCCAGGTGTGTGTGTGTGTGTGTGTGTGTGTGTGCGCGCGCGCGCGCGTGCGTGCACATGCATGTTTTCTCTCATTCTCTGAAACATTGTTTTTCAGCACTTCCAGACCCAGAGGAGGGGGAAGTCTGTTCATAACTATGTCTACAGTCTCTCTGTTGCCCAGCATACTTCTGTGGCTTCTGAGCATAAAAAGAAAAACATAAAAAGCTCTGCTGGCCAAACAGTGGTGCTTGTATGTGGTGTTCTTTCTACCTTGTGTCCTCTTGAGAGGTTAGCAGAACCACCCCATGGTGCTCTTGAGGATTTTGGCTTCCCTGATGCTGCCCTAAAGGAAAGGTGAACAAAAATAAAAAAGAGAGAGAGAGAGAGAAAGGAAAGGTGGGCAGATCCACATAGTCCCTGCTGAACAAAATTCCTATTCTCTTTAGGAAGGAGGATCTCTAAAGATCAGGTAACTGTAGAGCCCAGGGCCCAGGAAGAGCCAAGGAGGGAACTTACCAGAGGTGTGGGGATCATAGAAGAAGGTTGACTGGTTTTCTGGCTTCTAGCAAGGTTTTTACCTATAGTCACCCAAGGGCAGAAGGAGGCACAAAGCTTAAGGGCCCTTCCTCTGGTGGCTGAAGACCAGGGCTGAGGCCCATGGGCCTGTCCTCTCCTGGCCCTTCTCAAGGAGACTTTTTTATGTCTGCTTACCCAGGGGTCCCAGATGTCCTTTGACAGTCCCTCCAGGTGAACAAAAGGTTTCAAGCAAAGAGTAAGTCTATTTCCCAAAGTTTGTGTGCTGGGGAGGCAGGTGGTCTTCCACACACTGGGATCTACAGTGTGGTTGTCTCAAGGCCTCCCTCCTCCCTAGTCTACACATACTCCTACTTACCAAGGCCACCATGCTCTCTCTGTCACCTCTCATGGGGCCTTGGTCACCATGAAGCAGAATCTCCTCCAGCCCATGGGCTGGTTGCATTGGCCTCCCTGGGTCCAGGCAATAAGAGGGTCACATTCATTCATTTTAAAGCTACTCCTTGGAGGGGGGGCGGAGCACGATGGCGGAGGAGTAGGAGACCTAGATTTCGTCTGGTCTCAGGAATTCAGCTGAATAGGGATCAAACCATTCTGAACACCTACGAACTCAACAGGAGATCGAACAGGAGAGTAGCAACAACTCTCTGAACAGAGAAACGACCACTTACTGGAAGGTAGGGCGTGCGGAGAAGTGAATCCGAGGCGATATTCGGGAGGATAGACGGCGGGGGAGGGGCCTCCGCCGGCCGCTTCTGGCAAGTGATAGAGTCGCGGAGCACAAAATCGGACCTTTTAGAAGTTGGCTCGGCAGAGGGACATCGCTGCAGTGGCTAAGCGGGGGGTGGAATCCTCCCGGGACAGTGTGGTCTCAGGACCCTTGGGGTCACAGAGAGACCGGGGGTGCCTGAGTGCGCCAGAGCTCCCAGGTATCAGAGCAGGGAAGCCGGCTGCAGAGACAGAGCAGAGTCGCGGGCTCTCAGCTCGGGGTTGCCATAAACTGTGATCTGCGGCCCAGTCGGGGCACGGCTCCCCCAGCAGGGACCCAACAAGCAGCAGATCCGGGGAGAATCCCCTTCCTTCCCGGGGAGGAGCGGTGCGGGAACGCACCGCAGGGATCTGCTGGGTTTGGAGACTCCGTGCGGGGTCGGGTGCCAGAGATAGCAACGCTCGATCACAGGCCGGGTGAGCACGGAGTGCGGCCGGAGACCAGGGACACGGGAGTGACTGCTTTTCTCTGGGGGCACACTGAGGAGCGGGGCCCCGAGTTCTCAACTCCTCCGAGTGGAGATTGGGAGGCCACCATTTCTGCCCTGGTCCTCCAAAGCTGTACCGAGAGCTTGCAGGGAACAAAAGCTCCTGAGAGCAAACCGGAGCAGCTTCCTTAGCCCGGACCGACAAGGGCGGGGCAATTCCGCCTCCGGCAAAGACCTTTGGAAACCACAGCAACAGGTCCCTCCCCCAGAAGATCAGCACAAACAGCCAGCAAGCCAAGACCAAGTTGATTGATCAAGGAGAATAGGAGAACTCCAGCGCTAGGGGAATACTGCACATAGATTCATGGCTTTTTTTTTTTTTTACCATGATTCATTATTTCATCAAAGTTAATTTTTGTTGACTGCTTTTTTTTATTTTTCTTTTTCCCTTTTTCAACCAACATCTTATAAATCCCTTT